CTGTGGCTGATATTGAAGCAGTTTCATAGAGATGCCCGCCCCATACTCTTTTGATATAACTGCATCACTCACGTATCCTGTGAACAAATTTCGTTTTTAACAAATTCAAGAATATACCAACAATCAATGTGTTTGCTTTATATTTTTTAGTTTTATATTTTTTTGTTTTAATTAAGTTTTACGTACACACACATAAGCAAATACACTAGGAAAAACTTGTGTGAAAATTTTTGCAGTGTCGTGCAATAACTCCTGCACTTATTTTTTACACATTACTGGCAAGCTCATTATTTGCATGTCCCATGTCCTTGGTACTTGCATCCATTTATAATCTCTGACGTGACTATAAGCACTGAAAATAAAAAGGGGTGTTTCAAACAAACGCCTCGTTAGGCGTCTAAAGGCTTAAGCAAGATTAAAAATCCTGTCACTAATTTTCATTTCTTTTTTGTTTCTGTTTTTGTTTTTGTGTACACATAAAAAGAATTTTTTAAAAAAATTTTATTTCTATAAAAATTGCACTTAATATTTTTTATTTTTCATCTTTTCATAAACGATATGTATCTGTAAGTGGTTTTGCTTTCAGATCCTTCGGTGTGTGATGGCGTGTAATGCATTGTAGATTTCAGTGAAAGTCATGAATAGAAGATATGCAGTGCATCAATATATCTGAACGCAAGATTCATATAATAATAGTACATGTTACGTACGTTTATGTAAAAGAAAATTTAAGAAAATTATTCAGCTTTAGTGTATAAAACAGTTATAAATATTTATCTAATATATCTCTATATGCCTAGGCGTAGTAAGTGGAAGCGTAGGCACTATACGGATTTGGTATAGGAATCAGTTATTTTGTATATTTACGCCTCATATCTATATATGTATAATATATATTGTATATCTATATGCATGGAGGTAAGTAGCGGGGAGCAGGGTTTCTATTATTTCTACAACTATCGCGTATTTTTTTAGTTGCATGAGAACTATCGATATCGATAATCATGGTTTGATAGCTGAGAATCCCAATTATTCAGTAAGGTTTGGCAATTTATCATGAATCGTTTAATGCTAGAACAACGCTTCTTACTTGTGGATATTTACTTTGAAAAAAATAACTCTGCTCGCGAAGTAACTCTGTTCATAGAGCATTTCGTCCATTTTACAATCAACATAATCAGCCTAGTGAGCAAGTAATTCGCGCAGTTATTGATCATTTTTGAACTAATATTACTCTTCTTGATATAAAACAAGACAAAGAAATTGACTGTTTGGTGCTGTTTACACGATGGCGGCATCATTGGTCCATATTTCTTTCGAAATGAGGAAGAAGTTGCCGTTACGGTGCATGGCAAGCGTTATCGAGCCATGCTGGATGAATTTTTGTTTCCAAAAATTAATTAGTTAAACATTTATGACATTTAGTTCCAGGTTCTTAACAATCGTTTTATTGCGAAACCAAATTAGTAACAATTTTATATCCAGAAGTGGTTTGGTTAGTGTTAACAAATTCCCTCGTTCGTGCGATTTAACGATTACTTTTTATTTTTAATTTTTTTTAAGTCATTGGTTTATGCCTACAAACCAGCAACTCTTGAAGCATTGGAAGTCAATGTTCATATCACCATTGACGCCTTAGGTCACATTTATTAAAAAAAAATTAGCAAATCCAATTTTAATTGGACTAATCGACTGGACTATGTAACTCGTTGACACGGCATACATATGCCAAAAATCATATTCAGAAAGTAAATACATTAATCTAGCATTATTTACTAGATTATAATAAAATAAATTTCATTCCACTATATTTCTGTTTTGTATTATCATTTTAAGAGTCTATCCACCCGATACTTTACCGAAAATAAAACCCGATAATAATTAAATATTTTAAATTATTTCAAAAGTAATTAATTTTTAATAGAATAAATTTTTATTTAATATTCCTATTAAATAATAGTATAATATTTAAAAATAAATAAGAAGAGGAATATTTTCTACCCCAGCAGTATAAAAGCGCGTCCGTTTTAATTATATTTTTAGACATGCCCATGTTAACACCCTATAAATTATATTTAATAAATATTTTTAAAAAATGTGTTCTTATTTTTAATGATAACAAAGAAATTAATATATTAAACATTTAATTCTTACTCAAAGTGTAAATAAATTGACTCGAGCACATCTGATTTGTTATAAACGTAGCGAGTTAAACTAGTTGAGATCAAGAAGCTACACTAAAACGTTTCTGTTTTTAGTTTTATCAGAGAGATACGGTTAATAGAGACAATTGTGGTTCTATTAAGGTTATGTGTTCTTATTAGTTGACAATTGGGTTTCGTACACCCATAACACTATTGCGCAATAGTTTAGACAGAAAGACATATGATCAAAATGTAAATGTAATAATTACAACCGGCACATTTGCTTTTTTTATTAAATAAATAAATAATAAACATTTAATTAAAAAAATTTCTAACTTAAATAAAAATTTCTAACTTTTTATTTTAAAAAGTATGTACACTCCATATAGAAGGTATGTACCTTATTTAAAAATTTTATCTTATTCATAATAACAAATAATTTTAAAATGTCACATAATTAATTTAATAGAGTACAAATAATATTAATATTAAACAAAATGATGTAATTAAAAAGATCATTAATCTATTTAAAAAAAATAAATAATTTATTTAATAAATTAATTTTGATATAAAATTGTTTTTATATAAATTTTTAATATAAGTTAGTAATGTCAGATAACACGTTCTCAATACTCTCGTAATAACGTTTTCATACTAATTTTTGTTTTTTCTTGCTTTTTGTTGTACGTCAATAATATTAAATAAAATGGCAAATAATATATATTCAATCTATATTGATGGTGGATCAACAAATATAAGTATAATTGTGTATTTGCAAATATAACCACCCTTCTGTTGTATTTATTATTTAATTATAATTAATTTAAATAATATATACAGAATATTTTAAATTACTTTTATGAAACAAAATGTTAAATTAATATAATTTTTTAAACTTTCTTAATTTTTGTATATAAATTTAAGTTAGTAAATATATTGCATGTTAATAAATAATCACATATAAAATATTATATTACATATTATAATGTATTTAGTTCATATAAATTATTAAAAGCATATATAATATGCAGTTGCTTAATTTCACGCTATATACGCAGAAGAATAAAAGCAAAGTACATAATTTTATCAAAATACTTATAATTAAGATACGGTAACTACACATAATACGGTTTAATTTCATACGAATCATATTTTCCAGTTTTAAATTATGAATTTATAGTGAAAATTATATATAAAAATAAGCAGCATATATATTTTTGTTAAAAATTTGTTTTAAAGTTTGGCAATCAACACGCAGAATGTAGAATATGATCAGAGAAAAGGAATTTATTGATTACACTTTGGTTTTAATTTAAAACTAATTATTTGTGCATATATTAAAATAATTTTTAGGAGCCGAAATGCAACCGTGAGAAAAAGCTTTGCTTGACGAAGCTGTGAAGGTAAGACAAGTTTCGTTATTTTTGAATCCGTTATTTGTGTCGTTGTTTTAATAAGTGATGCGTAGTTTATTCTAAAATTAGTGAAAATGTGAATGTGCGTCGTGTAATTTAAAATAAATATTTTCGTTTTGAAAACACGGGTTTTGTTCAGAAAATGATTAATTTATTAGTTAAATAATTGATTCCTAATATACAGTGATAAATATAATTATAACAGGTGCAAATAAAAAATGTGACTATTTTGGTATCGTGTTTTTTTTAAGTGCGGCTTTTACGGCATGTAATTGCATTGTTGTTTTGAACCATTCGCGTCTTTAAATTCCAAAATACTTGTGATAACTTGTAACAGTTTTTTTTTTTATTATTTTTTTTTTTGTATAATGTTTTTATAATGATTTTATTTATTGAGTTTTATTGTATGTTAAAAATTTTATTATAACGCGAAAATGTGCAAAACTATTTTGCTTAAAGACATTTTATATATATATGTGTGTGTGTGTGCTAATCAAAGAAGCAGTGTATAAATAAGTGTGCGCTCGTTTTTTACAACGCCATCTTGTTATTTATTGTGCGGTAAGTCTTTTAAATAATTTTTCAATTCAATTCAAATGTAATTAATTAATATAATATAATTATTTCATTTTATTTTACTATAAATTTCTTATATAAATTAAGTTTATTTTAACTTAATTATTTTAATATACTTTATATGGTATTGCATACTAGCTACTGTATATGTGCACATAAACTGAACTCAGTTATATACAGTGGCTCACAGCTTATTAGATGCAAGCAAAAATTTTTTGAAAAATGTTGTTTATTTCAAAATATTTTGCAAAATAAAAAAAACAAAGTATGCAGAGTTATTGTTTATAGTGTGTTTATTCATTTTCAAAAAAAAAACCCAAAAATCTTCTTCCATTCCTTAGTAATGCATCAAAAACCAAAACCAAATGAAAAATTCATGTTACAGCTTAAATGATGCAACATCAAAAAAACTAATATTTTTACAAACTTCCGGACTAATTCTAAGTACTTAGTACTTTGTTGGATATCCCTTATTAGTAATAACAGCATGAAGCCTTTTTGGCATGGAATCAACCAGTTTTTTGGTATAATCTGGACTAATTTTACTCCACTCTTGCTGTAAAGCGTTTCTTAAGTCAAATTTGTTGCGGATGTCATGTTTTCTAATATTTGTCTTCAAAACAGACCACAAATTTTCAATAACGTTCAAGTCTGGTGATTGTGCAGGAGTTTGGACAATGTGTGGACATTGCCATATCAACCACGTTTGTACTAATGCTGACTTGTGCTTAGGGTCGTTGTCTTGGCAAAAGCGAAAATCATCTGCTATCTGCAATTTCGTTGCACTTTGAATCAAATTTTCTTGAAGAAGCTTTAAGTAAATATTTTTATTCATAGATTCTTCGATGAAGACCAAATTTCCTACTCCATTTGATGACATACATGCCCAAACCATAACATTACCACCTCCGTGTTTTACGGTAGCACGTAAATTTTGTATTTTGAGCTCAGAATTGACTTCGCGCCGTACATAAGATCTTCCATCTGATCCAAATAAGTTTATTTTGACTTCGTCTGCAAAAAGTACATTTCGCCAAAATGCTGGACTCTTATTTAAATGCTCTCGTGCAAACTGCAACCTTTTAATTCTATTTTTTGCACTTACGAAAGGTTTCTTTACAGCTATTCTATCATTGAAATTTGATTCTCTCAATATTCTGCGGACGGTTTCAGGATGACAAATTTTTCCAAAATCTATTTTGGCCATGTCTGTCAACTTTGGAACGCTAATTGTTGGATGTTTTCGAATTTGGTTTACCAAATACCTCGATTCTTTTTCTGTAAAAATTTTATTGGGAGCCTTTCGTCCCTTATTTTCTATGCGATTTTCATGTAAGAAGCGTTCAATTATGTGTTGAACTGTTGAAGAGCTTATATTTACTATTTCACCAATTTTACGCTGGGGAATTCCCTTTTTAAAGTACTCCAACACTAACTCACGCTTTTCAATTGATGTGCGCCGTCCCATGGTTAACAAAATGCACTCACTTTAATTTTTATATTATTTTCGCTCAAAAACTAGATTACAAATGATCGCAGAATAAAAATATTTTAATTTCTGTGTAATCTGGCGACAAAAATAACGGTATTCTTAACTGCATCATTTAAGCTGTGACATGAATTTTTCATTTGGTTTTGGTTTTTGATGCATTACTAAGGAATGGAAGAAGATTTTTGGGTTTTTTTTTTGAAAATGAATAAACACACTATAAACAATAACTCTGCATACTTTGTTTTTTTAATTTTGCAAAATATTTTGAAATAAACAACATTTTTCAAAAAATTTTTGCTTGCATCAAGTAAGCTGTGAGCCACTGTATTTTTATGCCGAATTGCACTGAAAATGCATTAACCACAGTTTTATATATTAACACTGGAGTAGCTTCCCTCGTGAAATATTGATCTACATTTTTTATTCAATTAATTACTAAATAAATTATATATCTATATACAAAATTAAATTAAAAATTTATGTTTTATTTAATTAAATTTTGCAGATCTTAAGTATTTTCTAGTCAATAATTTATTTATTTTAAAATTTATTTATTGCAAATGTATTGCTGCAGGCGAATTAGTAGGAATTATACTGCTCTTCATTGCCATATTAAATCAAATTTTCTGTTCTTTGGCTTCACACTATATGTTAATATTACAAGTGGTGATGATCGAATGACAACGGTCACCTGCATACATATCCTTATTAATATAGTTACTTTCAGTTACTTTCTTTAATTTTACTTTATTGTTTTTATTTATAGTTTTGTTAATTTAAATACACTGTTAATAGTTTTTAGGAACTATGACATTTTGAATTTATTTACCTATTTTCTATAACGGAGTTTATATATTTTTTTATCCGGCCAAAGGTCACTTTTTGATAAATAATTCAATGTTTGTCAATAATATAGTGCAATATTGACTATAGAATAAAGAGGATGACGTCGATATAGTTTTATTAAAATATTAAATGAATTATATGAATATGTATAGCATATTAATAATTGATTCCGGAGATGTTTTTATTAAACGAAAAACATCTCATATGTAATAGTTAATTAATTAATTAATACGTTAATATTTACTCATTCTCAACTCTTAAAGCATTTAAAAATGTTTTTTTTTTATATTATATTTGACAGAAAGTATTTCTTTTAAAAACATTCTTAAATGTCCTCTGTAATATATAACATATTTTTAAATATGTAATATATAACATAATTTTATATATGTAATATATAACATATCACTGTTACTGATGCTGTTATTCTGCTTATTGTTGCTGTAATAAGTAAATTTCAAGTTTGGTGATGTAGAAACTTATAATGTTCAATCAAATTTTATTATATTTTGAATTATTATAGAATAATTTTAAGTACAAATTGTGCCCTTGATTGTAATAAAAATTTACTATTACTTCAAATAAAGGAACCACAGCAAACAGGGTTAGAGATACCTCCTCGGGGAGGTATGCAGATCTGAGGTCAATTATTGCTTAGTCTGATGAAGTGATAAATAATAATCCAATCAAGGCGTAAAGAGAAGTTTTAAAATTACTTCGATTTAAGAAAGATTAAAAGTGCTTAAGTGCACTGACTGAAATAGCTTCAACATAATAGAATAGAATTTATTATTTTTGTCTTCACATATATCTTTTAATTGAGTTGTGGACTCGACGCGGGTATTTGCGGAACATAATTTATTTCAAAGTTTTTGTAAAGTAGCTACAATCTAAAGCGAAGTGTTTTAGATGAAGTGTTTCAGTAACTTTATACGTAACAACATCAATGTCTTGTTCTAAGATATGCCTTGTTCTAAGATAATGTGCTTGCAACTAATATAATAGGTCATCGTTAGAAAACTGTTTAACTGGGTCTTCCTCTGTATTAAAATTTTTTCATCTAATTTCTTAGGTTTTGAACGACTTGTGTCAACATCAGAGTCGTTTCATTCTCAAGGCATAATGTGCTTGCTCTTAGGCGCACTTCATTTAGGTTTGCAATTTTTGCTATCTGCTTTACATTAAGAATTTAAACTTAACGGAAACATGTTAAAATTTTGGGATGTTTTAGAAAAGTGTTGGTCACTATTAGCCATGTAAAAGTAAAACCAATATTTACAATTTATTCATAAAATGACAGTTTTCAGATGGCACTGAAAATTGTATAGAATAGCACTAAAGATTGTATAGGTTCTAAAATACTATATTTGTCATACAAGATCCAATGGTTTTATCAATTTAAGAAACAGCAGTATTAAAGAAAATTGTATAGAATACTAGCTTTATGGACAAAATATTGATATTATTGATATTATTCCACCATTCCAATTATAAAAATCGTTGTATGAAAAAGATAACTGTTCAGAATGTCTCAAACGCCGATTCGGTTCAGTAGAGACTTAACCGAGACTGTAATATATTTTATTTTCGCCAATTACTTTTTGGGTAAATACTGGCAACTGAAGTATATTTTGATTTGAGGAACACTGCACTAGTGCGTTTCATATGTGTTTGGTTCTAGTTGGAAGGGAAATCTGTACATTAATAATATATCCCACGGACAAGTAAATGATAGCTATAAAATGCTACAACCAAAAAGTTTTTTTTAATAAACGGATTAATACTACAATTAGTAATTGATGTTAAGAATTTTTTATTGTTCTTTGTTTGAAATTATAATATTTTTGCAGCTAAGTATTTCATAATTTAACTCCAACTACCATTGTTAAAGTAATAGAAAAAAGAGATTTCTGTTAAATTATATCTGTCAACTTAATAAGATAGATATTTCAATAGTTCATAGATTCTTCTAGTATTTAGTAAATATTGCTGTCTCTATGAATTTATTTAAAAATAAAAGATTAATCTCATTACTTATATTTTCTTATGCTTATTTATTTCTAAGAGTTTAATTGATAATATGTATTCGTATTAACTCACTGAAAAAAAAATATTTCTGATGTGTATCGAGAGTGCAAGTGTAATGAGTATGAAGCATAGTAACCAAAACCTACGAAAATAAATGTGCAGCCTTTTGGAACTAATTGAAATTTGATTAGTTTTTCATATGGTTTAATTTGTTTCTAAATTTGGTGAATTTTATTAGTCAAACTTAATACAAACTCACACATAAACAAGCATAATTTATTTTCTACTGCATTAGTTGATTTCATCATTGAACAAAAAATAAAATGATTCTGTTTTCATTTTTTAACTAATTTTTGACTGAAAAGTATGTGTTTATGTGCTTCTATTTATGAAATTTGAGTAAAACTTTCGTGTTTTCAATTTTCATTTTTCATCAATTTATACTAATTCTAAATAAAATTTGTGTTTAGTTACAGATATATATGGTATTAATCTTATAAAGTACGAATTTATATATTCACTATCAACTCTACGAAAACAAGTCATTTAACTATATCCTTTAATTTCCATGAAATCCAAAACTTCATATGAAATGTTGCTCACTCTGTATACTGAGAGCTCTTTCCCGGGCAATTAATGATTTTCTATAATATAATATTCGGTGTATTTTGATGATTGTTGGTACTGATTTAGTTTGCTGTAGAAGTGATTTTTCTTTATAAGTTGCTATCTGTATTGTGGAATTGTTTAATGGGGTAGTTCACTATTAAGGTATATTTATTTTTAATATATTAACTTGAATGAATTGATTGTTTTATGACATCAGACTTTGAAGACCAGCATATCTAACAGTGGTGACAAAATAATTGTTAGTATATATTTAACTACTTAAACTTTACATCTGGCGGTGATTCATAGTACTGAACAGCTTAAAGTCTTTATCTCTAATATAGTTGTTAATGTTGTAAGCATAAAAAATATGTTCTGGTTATACACAAGGTATATATCCGTATTGCTTATTTATAATACTACGGCTTTTTCAACGATCTTTCAATATATTTTGATATTATTGAAGTCTGTTTAAGGTATTCAGTGCTACTTTGCCAAGCGTTATACATCCATAAAGTAGGTTTAGTCTCATTACATGTTCATATATTAGAATTTTGTTGTTGAGTTTGATTTTTGTAACCCATAAAAGCATTAAAGTTCAGAGTTGTGATTTGAATGCAACGTTCTTCCATCTTTCTTCTCAGAAAGTTGGTCCAAGATATTTTACTTTAGGCTTTCATTCGATGAAGAGTTATGTACCAGCAAGTATATTAGGTTTAAGTACCATTTCGTTGTGATAAATATGGTTTTGGTTTTTATAAATTGGTTTTATCTTCAATTTATTAAAACATGTCATAATCTTATCTATGATGTTTGTAAATTGTTTATAATAATTACATTCAACTTCACTTTATATCAGAAAACAAAGACAATGTGTCTCTGTCAGTTTTATATATATTATACAAAATTGCATATAAGAGTAAGCTTTTTGATACTCTAGTATTTTTGATATTGTATGGCTGTGGCTTTACATTTGAACTTTAAAGTCTCAGTTATTAATTGAATTCTTAAAATTAAAATTTTAATTATTAATCAGTATGCCGTACTTTATTGAAGGTTTTAAGAATGAATTATTTTGCATTATTATATTTTTGCATTTTGTATGGAGTCAGTAAGTTCCGTAATGCTTTATTCGGTGTTTAATGGACTGCCTAGCTTTCGATTATAAGATTCCGTGCTAAGTATCTCTTTAAATCTAAATCTATATAATAATATTTAAAGAACTATTAATTACTGAGTGTAACGAATTTGTTTTTACTTGTTCTAGTTTTTTACTGGATTATAAACAGAGCAGAGTTCGTACAGCTTCGGGGACTATTTTTTATAAAAGTCAAAGTTTTACTTTTAGTATTGACATATTGATGGCATTATTTAAACTTAAGTTTACAATATTGAATACAACATTACAATTTGAATATGTACTATTAATTATTTCTTATATTTTGTTTTTGGTATTAACGCTAGTATTACTTAATCCATTTTTGATTGTTACT